TGGATCTCAGAGTCATAGCCCAACAACTTTGACAGCCACATCTGAAACGACGAAGTTTTCTTGAAAATTCTGAACTTAGTGAATTTTTGAAAAAAAACGCAGATCTCTAAAAAAAAAATTAAGTTAGAGAACATTTAATTTATTGATTGTATTAAGAAGCTACTATGCGCTCATGTCAATGCCAATTCACCCTTTTAGAGCTAACTTCTGCAAATAAATTCAACTATAAAAAAGTAGTTGAGAACAGGAAAATTATATTTATAAAAAAAATTCCTTTACCATTCCTTTATCTCTTTAAAATAAATAAATAAATAAATATTAAAAATTCCATCGCATCTTAGATAATTTAAACATTTACTAAGGTAGTGGGAATTGATATTTCTCTTTAATGGTTTAGTCGATGATGGTGAATCAGATGCTATTTAGCAGATTATTTTTTTTTAAGCCGGCAACAGAAGGAAACAAACTCGCTCTCAATTCTTCATTGATACATGTCATGCATAGAACAAATGCATGTCTTAATAGCATAAATTGATGACTTTGTTCATTGAGAAATTTTATCCAATCATCTTAAAATATAATGACATGCCATCTTAAAGTATAATGACATGAATGTATTTATGAAAGTCATTATAATCCTGTTATGACTACAACTGATCATATCTAAAGGGACGACATTGATTACATGCTATATCAAACTAGAGCTTCTTCCCCAAGCAACTATGTACTGATCATATGATATTACATAGAATTGTTGGAAACATAAACTCACATTTTTATGGTCAAATTGTTTTGTAAATTTCATCTTTATAGACATATATACAAAGCAATCAACCCTCAAAACAAACTCAACCTACAAATAACACAACTCAAATAACTCTCAACTCAAACAAAAGCTCTTAAAATCTCTCCAAATAATCAAACTCAAAATTAATGGGCAGCCTTGTTTATAGGAACTTGGTTGTAAGACCCGCTTTCCGGCAACTTTCGTAGGAAAGCCAAAAGCCCGACCTTAGGGGAAAGTTTTAGGTGGAAATTGACCTAACCCCTAAACCCAATTAAAACCCCGACCACTTCTAATAGAAGCCGTAAGTCCGACATTTGAGGAAAATGTTTAGGTGATAACACAAACCTAAATCCCTCACCTGGGCATCCTAGTCTATAGGACTTGGTTGTAAGACCCATAACTCGGGCCGCTTAGCTTACAGGGCTAGGTCGTAAGACCTACCATTAGGCAACTTCTAAGAAAGTCATAAGACCTATTCAACTGAAATTCTACGGGCAACTCCTAACTGGAGCCGTAAGCCCCAAACTAAATAAATCTCTGGGCAACTTCTAATTGGAGCCGTAAGCCCCAAACTAAATAAATTAACAGGCAACTTCTAAGGAAGCCATAAGCCCCAACCCAAATTAAATCAAACTAAAATCAACATCTAAGCACTTCAATCTACTCGGGATCCCTGAGAGGAGGCAACCCATGGCTGCTAATCAGATTCCCTGGACACTACGGTCAATGATTGTTAGTGTTGGTAGATTGAAATCTATGGTATACCCGGGACGACGGAACCATGGGATCTTGATCGGGTTTACCTCCATTTCCCCATTATTGAGACCAAAAATATTTAAAATTTATTTCATGCTTAATCGAGAGTTCTCTCTTACGTTGTAAGAGGGGTAATTAACTATGGGCGCTTGCGCTCATAGGAAGTAAGAACCCCAGATCTATAAACCCTGACACTACCCTCAGGGGAAATCTGGTTAATTTCAATCTGACTTAAGGGAAGTGGAATCCTACGGCTGCAAAGCGGGATTCATGCATTCGTGCCATTTTTCTTGAGCCAACAGGCTCCAATCTAAAAAACAACGAAGAGAACTTGTTTTTTCTTTCAAGAAAGCTCTATGATACCAATTTGTTTGGAAACAAGTGGTAAAACACTAGGAAAATTTGATAATTGATGAAAAGTGGAAGAAAACAAATAAGATACAATAGATCTTCAATTTGAGAAGAAGATCCGGCTCTCCCGATCCCTAGTCGGCTGCTAGAGCCCAAGCAAACCTAAGAGAAATCCCCAAATTCAACAAAAACAATCCCAATCCTAACCCTAACCCTTCCCATCTATTTAAAGAATACCAATATAATTATAATTACTAAACAACCCTTCTAAAATTTAATTCCCTCCTAAAATGCCCGCTCCTCTTTATAATGGGCCCCACAAGGGGGACCGGTGGCTGTTTGGTTCGTTTTTATTGAGCATCTTGGTTGGTTTTATACTTTTCATTTTACAAATCAATTTGTGTTTTAACATTATAATACAACTTATGCATTTGTTTAAAAAGTATTGTCATAAAATTAGAATATAAATGCATAGGTAAGTTAATGAGATCCATATGCTTATTGAATTGTGAGTCTGTGACCAATAAACCGCTTCAAAGAATGATTTTTCAATGCTAGTGCTTACAGAGCTGTTGTAACAAATTTAGTCATATGTAGTAAAAAATTCAAATTCATAAGCTACTAAAAATAAGACAACGCATCATATTTCCTACATTGCTATTTCTAATTTCTATTCTTCCATATGGCTGGAGGTGAAAAGCAGATGCAAAGCTTTTTTTTTTTTTATGCCAAAAAATTTTCATAAGATTTTTATCTTATAAAAAATAACGTACAAATATCCTTGCTCTATATAATGGAAGTGGATATTGCATATGTTAAATCCTAGGTGCCCCTTGGCATTTTGATCCCACAATTAGAATGAGAATCCGTGGGAGTCTCACCTGGATCACACGCCATTCTCCTTCCATATTTAGTTGGCTGATCTAGGAAGGATTATATTAGAGCAATTAAGCATGATTTTGTAATTATTTGTTTCTTTTTTTAAGATATCTTATATAGATCTATAAATAGAGATAGTTTTGTGCAATAAAATTAAGCATTTTCTCTTTCCAATTCTCTGAATTTAACATGGTATCAGAGCCTTCGGTCACATTGCAAATTTTTGAGTTTTTTGTACTACTTTGCCTCCATTGCCGGCCTTCTCTTGTTGTTACCCTATCTATAACCAACACAACCTTCATTGCTGACTTGCTTGATATAGCCTTTATCGTTACCATTTGCCGCCGCAAAGTTTGAAGCAAATTCCTCCTAAAGCCTTGACCAAATGGAGGACTCTATGATGCACCAAGGAAGATGAAATCTCCAAAACATGCAACCTTCCCATTGCTTAAATGCATGGGTGGACCGACCTTAAGGCCAAGGGGGGCTATTCCCCCCCCCCCCCCCCCCCCCCCCCCCCCAAAAAACCCCCCGCGCTTGCTCAAAAAAAAAAAAAAAATCTTTATTATATGATTCTTTAGATAATTTGTCTCACTCCATGTATTTTTAAGTCTTTATTACACTGGTTTTTAAGCAATTGCCCCCCTAAAAGTTTTAAAATACTATAATCTTTAGGCAATTGCCCCAACATAATTAAACACATTGTGTAGAGATGTTATTGTTAGGGAGCATTGAACCAAATACAAAGAGAAATAGTAAAGAGAATCCAAAAATATCCTTATAACCAAAATTTGAGACCAATTGGCGAAAAAATTTGCGTTCCATTGGGCCATTTTAGCGACGCCATTCGCTCGTTTGTCGAACGGCTGGAGAAGGCCTTATCTATTGTATTGTTCTTATTGTTCAAGCTATTTCTATCTTATGAAAATTTTCTAATGATTTGTGCTACAACCTCTGCTCTAGTTGCAGCGAGAATTTTCTCGTTCTTGCAAGTTTCATTGAGAGCTTTGCCAGTACATTTAGATCTTTGTCAAGCCTTCTCGTTTAGGCTAAAATAACTTTTGAAGCTTTAAATCTTTTTTTTTTTTGGTCAGCATAAAGCTTTAATGGTAGCTATTGATTTCTTGGGATGCTTAGAAAGGCTGTCCCTTTGAAAATTCCGTCTATAATTAATTTATATTGCTTACTATTCAACTTAATTTTTATAATCTCAGTTGAGGCAGATAACAAGTGTGCTTATTGAATGGAATCAACTGCACTTTCTTTTTTCTTATCTTTTTTTTCTTTAATAAGAATATTTTTCCTGGTTTCCAGGTTATTAAATTATCTATACTGTTAATCATCCAATCTATAGTTGAAAGAAAGATAATTCGAGATTATGACTCTAAAATTTATATTGATGTGCCAACAGCAGTGAATTTTTTGTCCTTTGACTCCTTTCTGCAGCAATACTCCACTTCCAGGATTGGTTATGGCACTTGATTTTTTCTTGGGAATTTTATGTCTCCATTACTCAGATGCAGATTATGGAAATAATATGTATTGCTTGGTAATGACTTAATAGTGCTTTCTAGTGAGTAGGACCGAAAGTATAAAGCAGGATGGATCACAAATGGTTCAGGGGAAAATGACCGTTAAAAAATGGATGCCTCCGTATGGAAAACACACTCCTTTTGGTCAGGGTTAGAACCAGCCATAATTTTCAGCGGGGACAAACTTTTAAATAACTGTTGGCAGATATGTCGGGGGTCTAAGGGGGCAGCAAACCCTGGCGGGGTTTGACCTTAGTATTTTAAAACTTTTAGGGGGGGCAATTGCCTAAAAATCCTTGTAATAAAGACAAAAAATAAATTGAGGGAGACAAATTACCTAAATAATCATATAATTAAAAAAAAAAAAAATTTAGGAAGGGGTTATCCCCTCCCAGTATTAAAGGGGTTCCGCCCCTGCTTTTGGTACATGTATAATGAAAGTGGAAGTGGAGTTGATATTTGTAATGGAAAACTTTATGTGAGCACATTTTTTGCCCCAATTTTTGCTGTGGCTGCCATGCATGTTTATTGCTCTCATGGTTTTAAGGTTTCTGCAAAAGAATTACAGACTTGTTCTCATTCAAATTGAATTTTCTACCTGTGGTCATATTAATGCTCATTTTAATGGCTTTCATTCAAATTATTAGATTGTTAAGCAGGTACTGACCAACCTTTACTTTTTGTTTTCTTATCAGAGACGAACTGGCTTCATACGGTCCTCAGGAAGCTGTGAACCTCAATTCTAGAAGTGCAAATGTTGGAAGCCTTTTCTCGAGAGGACCAGATGCACCTTCTGTGTGGTCATTCAATCAATAAATAGTACAGGATGTAAAAAACTCTACAGCCATTCAAGATAGTACAGGATACCGAAGGAAAACCTTGCTGCAGTGCATCCTCCTAAACCCTAAACGATAGGAACTTTTCTTCTTTCCAGCATGAATAGATGGATTACTTGCATTCCTGCAACCTTGATAGGTAGAAGATAATCTCTTTTCTGTTTTACAGGGATTTCCGGAACAGCAGCCATGTTTTCTAGGCATCTTTTTGTTTACCTGGAGCATTTTTTTCCCTCTCTCCATTACTTTCCTTCTCATCATGCAGTTGAAGTTGACAACTGTTCCTCTTTTTTTCTTAGACTCAGTAAGTTTAATTGATTAACTTATTAACGTGCATAAGATTTGCTTCCGTGTTTGGTTTTATTTTAGGCTTCCTTTATAATCATATTTTTTTACTTTTAAGAAGCAGCTTTTTGTACATAAAATTTAAATTCCAAAAACTTTTTTATTAAGAAACTGCTTCATAAAATAATAAAAGAGCTATCCCAAACGAAATCTTAGTATTGGAATGCAAGGTTTGGTCACCGGACACAGCTTACGTTCGGTATTCACAGTACTGAGCAATACTGAGCTCGGTACTGTGAAGTACTGAGTACCGAGCAGTATTGAGCTCGGTATTGAACAGTACCGAGCTCAGTACTGAGCTCAGTACCGAGTATGAGGTGATGTGGCGCATTGTCATTTGGCTCCGAGCACGCCTGGTGACCTGATCCAATAATTTTCCCGGGTTCGGGGGAATGATTTGCATTCGGTGGTCTTTTGAGGACAATTACTATTTCCTATAGTTACATCAAAATAGATAATCAACACTTGCATAATACATCAAAGTGGCACTCTGGATTTTATTAGAGGATTCTTTCTCTTAGTTGTCATTAAGTTTAGGGTGACTAATGAGAAGTGGTAATACTTTTTTGGTTCTACCCTTTATTTGTTGTCTATGAATTGGCGAAATTATTATGTGCGGTTACCGGACATTATTTTGAAGCCAATCAGGATGCGCCACATCATCAATTTATTATGTATCGTCATTATGTATCACTGTGTATTGGGTGACATGATACATCCTGATTGGCCTTCGGACGGTCCGATGGCTACAAGTAATAATTTCTTCTATGAATTGAGACTTATCATTAAAAGTAGGTTTAAAATTTTACATTTTATTTGGGATAGTTTTTTATTGTTTTTGTGCTAGAAAAAATAGTTAAGAAATATAATGTAGATTTGGATGTAATTTTTATGCACTTTTATAAAAGTTGTTTATAAAAATATATTTTTTGAGAATCATATTTTAAAAATAAAATTAAAATTGTGGTTGAAAAGAAGCTTTTAAAAGCATGAGTAAAAAGCAAAGTTGTTTTAAATGAAGATTTAGATGATAATGTGTAAATATGTAAAATTGTGTGATATTTATGTAAATTGGTCCTAATCTTCCTCAAAACCCCTAGCCTTACTCTTTTGTTGCCTTCCTCATCTTCTTCATTCCGATCCAACAAAAGAACAACCAAGCTGGTTGACCGGAGTAGGATTGGGCTGGGGGGTGGGGGGATTTGATCAGATCCGGGTCAACTTCGGATTAGTGGGTTGACCTATACATGACCCAATTTTGTAAACAGATCAAACTTTGGAACTCGAATGCGACTCATTTGTCAAACAGTTAATCCTTACCCGAAAATTTCGGATTGGGTTTTCAAGTTGTGTCAAATTTTGACACCCTACCTAAATCTCTTTAATCAACCAGCTTTATTTTATTTCTTCAAAAATAGCTTTTTAAATGAGAAGTTTGAAAAACAGTGAAAAAGTTATCTTCTAAATATATTATTTTTCAATAACTATTTTATTTTAAAATAGGCAAAAACATATTTCAAATAAAGTCTAAGATATATATTACATGAATAAAAACTATTATTATTAAAAATAACAAATTGACATTAGCTTTTATAATATTCCTAGCAAAATTCTTATGCATCATCAGAGGAAAAATTTGCTAATTTCAAGAGCTTTATAAGATTTTAACTCGTTGACATATGCATGCATAATATATGATAAATTTAATTTAATTTAAACATATTTTAAAATTAATCGGCTTTCAAATCTGCTTGAGAGTATTTGAAAATATTGTAATGAGAAATAATTTTTTTTATTTAATAAATTTTTATTGAAGTCGAATTTCTTCGATATTAGTTTAAACTTTGATTAGTTCTAACCTGATTTGGACCCAAGTTGGAACTTGCTAGATTATTGGTTTGAGGTTCAAATCAAGTTCGAATGGGTTCCCAAGAGAGAGAGGTGTTGATTAAGAATTATTTCTAAATGCAAATAAGCTTTATTTTAAAAAGTTTTAATGGCTCATAATTTATTTGATTAGGGAGCTGATTACTTTCTTAATTAAGTTGATTTGATTAAAGATTTGATTGGAGATTTGATTGATGAATTAATTAGGTGATCTAATTATTGCATTAATTTGTAGATTTGATTTATGTATTGATTAAGAAAGTATTGATTTGGAGAATATGGCTCTAATTGAGAAATCCAATTATGATATGATTGAATTTCTTATTGATTAAGATTTCTTTATCGTGTTTGTTTCAAATATTTAAATAGGGTTTAAGGGCTATTGCAATGTATGCATGATGTAAAAGAGAAAGCTTGAGAGCCTATTGTAATCTTTATTATTCTCCAGTATAGTAAAATCATTATCCCCGCCCGGTGGATGTAGACATCTTCATTGAACCATGTAAATCATTATGTTATTTGTGTTGTTTGTTGTGTGATTTCTAAATTTTATTGTTTCCACTGTGTTTATTGCACAACAATTGGTATCAGAGCCGAATTTCAGTTGGATTTTTGGCGGCAGTTTGAAGAATGGGAGAAAATCTCTAAGACGTGATTTGATCATATCGAGCAAGCAATGGTTGTTTATTTTTATTTTGGATTATATATGAGCTGGATTGGTGCAATTCTGGTGCCGTAAGATTGCTGCAATTTGGTGGAGGCTATGAGATTCGGTGGAGTCATGGATATATCCACCTCAACGTTGGACAAGGCGGTGATCTATCAGGTAGTTACACATCCCATCATAATTGATGTGATAAAATTTGAAAGCAAAGAAAACATTGGCTTGTAGTGATGTGAGGTGATGAATGCGATGTGTTCTTTAAATTTGGAGGAAGTTCTAAAGAGCGATGAAAGTCCTGAGGAAATTTTGGAGAGAGACTGACTCAATATAAACTAGAGTGCTTGTGGCTTGATCATAAATTGCTAATTTCACGAGACCAGGTATGTAGTGATGAGGGAGACTTTTGCTATAAAGTTATAGAAGATTTTAGAAAACAAATATCTGAAGAAGAGAGTGGAGAATTGCCTCCATATAAAACAACAACTTTACAGGTTTTAGATGAAACATGGGATTAAGATTGACGAGCATTTGAATAATTTTACAAAAGCTATTGCCAGATCTTTTGAATCTCGATAAGGATGTTGGAGATGAAGATAAGGCGTTACTTTTGTTGAATTCACTCCCAGATGAGTATGAAAACTTCACGATGACACTCATTCATGGGAAGGAGGTCTTAAACTATGTTGAGGTGATTAATACATTGTTGAATCATTAGTTTCAGTTTAGGGACAAGGAATCTGCAAAGATTGATTCAACTGAGGCCCTCCCACTCCAAAGTGGAAGATTTAAAAGAAGAAGAAAAAAGGATGGCAATAACAAGCTGAGCAAGTCTAGTGGGCATAATCTTGGAAAGAATCAACATGCTTTCTGTTCAGAGACTGGTCATTGGAAGAAAGATTATTCTAAGATGAAGGGGAAGGAAAATAGAGTTTCCATTGAGGCTAACCTTATCGTGAAAGAGCATGATGAAAATTCAGATGTATCACTATCTGTAGTTTCTCAAAGTTTGTATATTGAATGTTCATGCTAGATATTGGTGCTACCTATCACATTTATCCCATGAGAGAGTGGTTTTATACTTACAGGGAGCTTGATAATAATATTGTGACAATGTGAAATGATCAAGCTTGTCTTATTGTTGTTTTATGAAACAACTTCATTAGAATCATGATGGTATTGTGAAAGAGTCAACTGATGTGAGACATATTATATATATGAGGAAGAATTTATTGCTTGTTGGGGCTTTAGAGACCAAGGGCTATATGGTAGTCATTGAGTCACGAGTTCTAAAGATGTATCATGGTGCATAGGTATTTTTAAAGAGAGTTTTCCATCATAACCTTTATTATCTTCAGGAAAAAATTATGATTATAATAGCTGTTGTTGTTGATGGTTCTTCTGATGCCACTATATTGTGGCATATACGACTAGCTTTATCTTGAAGAGGCTTCCCTAATGACTTTAATGAAGAAATGTTTGATCAAAGGAGCAAGCACATGCAAGCTTAGTTTTTTTTTTTGAACATTATGTGTTTTTCAATAAGACACATGTTCTCATCATGAGTAGGAATCTCATCCTCAATAATCCCCAACAAGTCCTTAAGTTGGTGGCAAAAGGCTCTGTGCAACAAGAAGGGATTGCTTATAATGAGGTGTTCTCCCAAGTGGTTAATAATCCAACAACCCGTAGTTACTTGGCACTTGTAGCACAATATGATTTGATTTATAGTAGCTTGGTCCAGACATTGCACAAAAAAATTTATATTGTGAACAAGTTCATACATAATATATGAATGAATCATTGACAAGATGAAAAGTGTATCATGAGGTATCTAAAGGATATAGTTGATACATGCTTGGTATTGGAGAGGTAGTCACCAAGATAGTGATGCGGGACTCATGACTGATTGTTCACTTGTTTGAAGAGCTACAGTCGGCTTGATCCATTAGGAGGGGTGTACGTAGACAACCATCTAGGTGTAATCATTTTGATATTGGAGCCTAGTTTATGATATTCAACTTTCTGAAGTGAAAGAGGAGGTGGAGATTGTTAATTTGGAATTATTTCCAAATACAAATAGTCTTTATTTTGGAAAGCTTTAATGGCTCATTATTCATTTGATTAGGGAGTTGATTAGTTTCCTAACTAAGTTGATTTGATTAAAAAATTGATTGGAGATTTGATTGATACATTAATTAGGGGATCTAATTGTTAGATTAATTAGGAGATTTGATTTATGTAATAATTAGGAAAACATTGATTAAAAGATCCAATTATGGCTCTGATTGGGAGATCTAATTATGACATGATTAGATTTCTTATTGATTATACTTTCCTTATTGTGTTTGTTTCAAATCTTTAAATAGGGCATAAGAGCTATTGTAATTTATGCATGACGTAAAATAGAGAGCTTGAGAGCCTATTGTATTCCATATTGTTCTCCAATATAGTAAAATCATCATTCCCTCCTCGTGGACGTATGCACCTTCGTTGAATCGCATAAATCATCGCATTCTTTGTGTTATTTGTTGTGTGATTTCTTAATTTTATTGTTTTCGTTGCGTTTATTGCACAACAAAAAGGGACTTGAATCTCACAAGGGAGAGTAGGACACACCCATTGCATGAGATTGATAAGGCATGCTAGCTGCAAATGACAATTAGTGTGGGAATTTGTCCATATCACGAGGGAGTCCATCCATGCTGATGAGTGAGTTATGGGGGGAGGGAGAGACTAATGAAGTTGAGGTTGAGTGCAAGTTATGCAACTTAGGGAATCTCCAACCGCAAAGCCTATTTTAATTTCTACTTCAAAATACAGTAACAATCATATCAAACAGTAATTCATCTCCAACTGAACTTCATTTATAACATCAAAAAAAATATATTTTGTATATATTCTTTCTCATCTCTATTTTTATATTTATTTTTAATCATATCCTTATATTTATCAAATTAAAAAAATGGCGCTTCTGAATAGTGCTACGCCAATCGCACTGTTCACAATTGAGCTAAAACACAAAAAATGCGTTTTCATTCGCCATTTAGGTGGACACTCGATGAAGCTGCAAACAGACGAATGACATTTCGTTGGAGATGCCCTTAGAGAGCTTTTCAAGCTATATTGGAATCATCTTCAATAAAAAGTTTATTGATGTCTAGAATTCATATAGGTTGCTTAATACATCGAGTAAAAAGATGTCGCCAACTCTGTGCCAAATGATCACCAGATTTATGTCGACCTTTATTTTCAATGACTGCCTCCTCTCCCTCTTGAGCCAAACATTTTGAACCTTGGTTTGAAGCATCTTCGAATTGGCTCAGATTAATTTTGGAGAGCTTCAACTTCAATATGCTTCATGTGAATGAATACAAAAGTAAATCTCTCATTGGATGTATTTTGATATAAAATATATTTTAGAGCATATTTCAACAAATATGATGTAATGAGATATTTGCCCAAATCAATGCATTATTGGGGATAAAAAGGTTAAATTTCCAAAGCAAAGGACCATAATGATGTGAAAAAATACTTGTTATAACACCATCAAATTCACTCACAAATGCGTAAATTATTTAATCAAATTATTTTAAATAGGAGAGGGCGAAAAAAGAAAATACGTTTACCTACTAGTACAACTTTATATATACATATAAATAAGTGATAACTCATAAAATATCGAATCTAACACAGATTTTGACATAAATTTCTGAATTAGAAAATTTTAGAATCAGCATTGAGAATATATGAACTATATTTTTAATAAACTAAAGATGCATCTCGATGTGATGAATCAAACGAGCTCAAATTGTCCAATTCTAACACATGAAGATACTTCAATGTTATAAAGGTATTATATGACTGCGGAGGGTTAACCGATCGATACAAACAATCTAATAAAACATTATGATTTCTGGTTAAATGATTAATATGTTTCATAAATAAGTTCAACATATACAAATTTAAATGATCAGATCAGGTGATTAAAAGAAGATCCATATTTAAAAAAGTTAGATATTTTATTATTAGCACTTAATGAAAAATCTGCATAATTATTAAAAATTCTCTTTTGTTGGATTGAGAGATCGCATCTCCTCCAAACAAGAAGAAAAAAGAGAGAAGATTCAAAGCTATCTTCACTGCTACTTGAAGCAGCATCTATGAAATCTAACACCCTTCTTGAGGTCCTGATAACACAACAAACAAATAGAACTATGCCCCCCTTAGACACTAGAAAAAACTCTTGAATAGTTCACTATAGAGTTCTACCTAGATCATCGAAACTCCGATATTCACTCTTCCTTAGTCTGTTACATTTATTTATTTTCTTTTAAGTTAAAGGCTTCGTTTGGGACGGCTTTCTTACTGCTGCTTGAAACAATTTTTTAGTATAAAACTTATTTTAATTTTTGTACTTAAAAATTATTTTAAGAAGCTATAAAAAAGTAGTCCCAAATGAAGCCTAAGTCAAAGGAAGCATAATATTTTCTTGATATGTTGATGAAGGAATGACTAAATAAACTTTAGAACCTATCAAAGTTGGGGATATGTCAAAAACCTGGAATTGCCCACTTATATTTAGGGGTGTCAATTCGGGTCAGCGGGTCGGGTTCGGGTCGAACCCGGAACTGACACGGCATTGTTCAGGTCAATCCGAACCCGTTTTTAAAAACAGGTCAGGTTTCCGGACCAGAACCCAACTCGATTCGGGTCTGGGTCAACCCGACCCGACACGAATGACCCGAAGTTTACCTAAAATTGCTAATTTTTGGGTCAAAAATCGGGTCAATATTCGATTTTCGGGTCAAAAACATATCAATCTCGATTTTTCGGGTCAAATGTGAGTTTTCGTGTCACTTTCGGGTCAATTTCGGGTTGTTGGGTCAACCCGAACCTGACCCGATTTTTAAAACGAGTTGATTAGTTGAACCCGAATCTGACCCATTTCAGGTTCAAGTTGACCTGAACCCAAATTTTTTCGAATCGGATTCGAATCGTGTTTCAGATCGTGTCAAAAATGGAATCTCTACTTATATTCCTGTGTGGACCAGATCCGGCAGATCGTGGTTTATCTCTACTATAGTTGCCCTAGAGCGTCGAGATTCAAAATGCTCTCTTTCAACGGGCACTCTTGTCATGGTCTTTCGAGCTTGAGGGCGAGCGAGTGAGCGAGCGAGGGAATCCAGGAGAGAGGTAGAGAGAGCGAGGGAGAGGGAGCATGGGGAGAAGAAGGGGAAGATACGAAGCCAAAGAAGTAGATGAAGCGAGAGAGACGGAAAAACGAGTGGGCGATCCTGATTCCGACGAAGGAGCCGACGAGACTGAGCCGGCGAAGGGTTTCTTCGCTTGCTATCTTCTCTGCTCTTTAAGCCCTCGCCACAAGGGCCGCACCTATATTGGGTAACTCCTTCAAACTCTGTAGAAATCAATCTCTAGAATTGGTTGCATCATAATTGATACTGACATTGAAAAGAATAATCTTTCCTTCTCTATAAATAAAATAGCAGATTTTCAGGATCTTCTTTGTGGTTGATATTTTCACTGAAATCTGGATTATTCTGTCATCTGCTTAGAGATCTGTTGCTAACCTGCTGGGCATGAGATTATCTGCTGATAACCTATGGTCTGTTTGATAGGCCTATTTACAATCTCCTGCCCCAATCATAAATCTAGGATTTGGAGTAAATGCCGCTAAAGCCTTAATATTAACTTGTAAATCCCAGATTTATTGAGTTCGGGATTTGACCCGATTTACCAAACCTCGGTTCAACTCCGTATTTATCAAATTGCGGCCGGAGCTTGATTTATGAAATTTGCTGCTTGCAGAGAGAACTCTTTGAGGAACCCTTCTTTCTCACCTCTCCGCGATAGCTCTCCTCACGCGGTTCGAGCAATTCCTGCCAGTCCAAAACCTTGTTGTAGCCCTCCGATCTTTTTTACCTTGTGGTATTGCGTGAAATTTATTGAAGAAATTTCTCTTTTTTTACCTCAGAGCATTCTGGGATTGATTCTGTTCTGACTATTGTTAGGACCTTGTATATGCATTGTTCCTTGCTAAGTTTTCTGAGCTGTGGCTGATTATGTATATTTAGAGTGAATCAATTTTTAATTTTGGGGTTGTTTGGTTGGCTAAAAAAGGAATGCAATATAAAAGAAATAATTTGTAGTTGTTTGGATGAGTGTAAAGTAGTGACCTTAGCACCCTAAATGAAAATAAAGATTTCTATTTTTATCGGCGTATTAGTAAAACTGAAGTTAGAGAGGCTTTAAAGAAAATGAAGGGTGGAAAAGCTGTTGGACCTGATGATATCCCTTGTTGTTGTTGGATGAGTGTAAAGTAAATTAAGACGAATGATTATTCTTTTTTTTGTTTGAAGTAAAATGAATGTAGTGTAAATGTTAGAGATGATAGAGACCGGCGGTCGTGGTAGCAGAGGGTGGTAGCCGGCGATGGCCGACAATGGTGGCTGGCAGTGGTGGTGGACAGTGATGGGTGGAGGTGCGGTGGGTGATAGCCGGCGGCGGCGGAGGTGGTGGCCGGCGGAAGTGGTAGTGGTGGCCGGAGGCAGGTGGAGGTGGTAGGCAGCAATGGCCAGTGGCGATCAAGCGAGCTAGATTGCGGTGTAAATCATTCTCGCTCAAAACTGGGTGAGTTTGATTTACCTAAAAAATAAACTAGAGTGGTTTACTCTACATTTACTTTATTTTGCATTTATTTTTCCTCCGTCTAAACACCAAAATTTTCAAAACCTCTGTATTTGGAATACTTTATACTCTTATATAATCCAACCAAACAACCCCTTTATAAAATCCAAAAAAAAAAAAAATATCTATTCTCTTGCTATAGCAAGCCTCCATTATTTCCTTCTACTTGGTTAAAGTTGGTTAAAGAGTTTGAATAACTCGTTTGACTAAGCTCCAAGCGTTTTCAACCATAACATTTTTTTATCATGTCTAAGTATATATGAGTGTCCTCCTTATCTACTCTAGTTTGGGTATATCCAAGTTTGCACTCAATCAAAAAAATGTTTTTTTTTAATGGCTGTTGCTCACGACAATGAGCCCTAAAATCATTGCCATTCATGATAAATAAGTTGGATTTTTAAGCTTCTTCTGTTTCATTCATAATTGGTTATATAAATAATTTATCCTGGAAAGAAGTTTTACACTCCTTTGATCTTATCTGCTTCATCGAGATTTGTGATCCCACCAAAAAACTCTTTAAATAGGCTCTTCATCCGATTGATTACTCAACCAAACCAACAAGATCCACTCACAAAACGAACATGTCCAAAGATACTTTAGCAACCAATTGGAATTCTCATGAGATTCGACCCGTCCTCGATGTCCACCTAGTTCAGGATCAAAATAACCATCCAAATCAGCATCCGCTCGAATTGGTGTTTAAGCTCATCCAATTAATGCTCTTTTGCTTGGACCAGCGGTTCTTGAGGCGTCTAAGTCTCGCCTATCATAGGATAGTGTATCAAAATGATAATCTACTTACTAGAATGTGTAGCACACAGAGTCACACATGATGCCATGGTGCATTAAGTCTTGTTCTGCACTCATCATGCTTTCCACACCTTAAGACACTTGGCAAGCATGCCTCATGCAACACATATAATGAAGCCATACTAGGATGGCCTATAAAAGGGAAAGTAAAGAATCATAATAAAAAAGGAGGCGAAATCCTAAGTTGAACTCCTGAGATTTGACTCCCTAGTCTTATTTTTTATTGTTCTTCTTCGTCCATGCTCTTCTCCTCCCTTTTACAAAAGATACAATTGTAAGAAGAACCTAGTATAATTTAATAGTGGATGTAAGCAATGACTGCTAAACCACTTATTTTGTGTTGTGCTTCACTGAGTTTTCTCTTCAAATTTTCCTCTTCCATCAACCCAAGTAAGCGACCTTGAATCCTCCCATTTAAATTTCCTTTTCCTTCAATCGAGTCGTGAGTAAGGCCCAATCTTGAATTTGACTTGAGCTCATTTTAACTTTTTTTTGTGCCCATCATATGAATTTTCTTTTGCTTGGAATTTTTTTGTTCTGATCTTTATCTTGTAGAAATACTTATAAAGTGATATTGCATTTTGACTTTAGTTGGTTGTTTACATAATTTCAAAATTCTGGTTTTCTATTCTTCTCAGTAGAAATTTTTGTTTTGCTCCATCTCAATATTTTTGTTATAACTTTCTCTAGTTAGATCAGATTAGTTTGATTTTTAATTTGTTATATTTCTTTGAATCCTTTGCAACTCATACCTAACCCGAGTTAGCCATATTATTAAATTTGGCTAACCCAACCTTTACTTACCCATTGACCCTTTTGGTTAATGTAGTCAAACCCTCATCAACTAAGTGCTCTTGGTCAAACCTTTTTACTTGCTAGCTTGACCTCCAAAACAACATTTGATATCCTTAGGCCAATTACTTCTGTACTAAATCCCAAGCAACATATATCCCAAGAAACTTTACTTTTCCTCCTTTAAGCCTTCGCATAATCCTACAAGTTCCACAAATTTCAACCTTCATCATAATTCTCTATTCAACGACCCCTTCATTTTCTCCTTTTTTAATTCTCTTTATTCATAAAATATCACTCTTATAGTGGAATACTCAAAATTTCAGGTCATGAAAATTTCCAACAAATTATGTTTGTTACATTTAATATTTAAATTATAATTAAAATTCCCATTAACAGTAAAAGACTATAATCGTTATGAACTTAAATTATAAATGTTGTTTAATGTATATTTCCATGGTATTAATACTAACTGATATATTAAATTAGAATTCCTTATTTTCTGAAGAGATGCCTGCATGGGTCGAATAAATCAACCACTGATTTATTTTCATCTGAAGACTGTGAAGGTTTTGGGGAATCAGTTATATTAAATTCACTTTATGCGGGCCCTCTCCTCTATTCTTTTTTTTGTTCGGAACTCTCACAAATCAGCAGTTTTCACGCAACTAGGAGTGGATTCACTGTGGGTATGTTCGGCACAGTGTTGTACTGTAAAGGGATTCGACATAGTGATTAGAAGAGGGATTCGACACAATGCATAGAAGAGGAAATTCGGCACAGTGCACTGGAGGAAATTCGACAGTGCAGTTTGTTGTGAGTGTGCAAGTTAATTGAAGGAACAATGATTTTGTGTGATGTTTTGGTGCATTCGAAAGAAAGAGTAGAAGAAAAGAATAATAAAAGGAAGGAGGAGGTAAGAAATTTTAATTTTAATTATTGTCTTTTATATTTCCTAAATTCAGTAATCAAATTTTAAAGAAGAATATACTCAATTATGTTTTAGGATTCATATATATATATATATATATATATATATATGCAAAAAGGAGGAAATATTACGAGGTGTAGAATTTTGGATAAGACAACTCATCAAGGAAGTAAATAATGCAAGTTTAATTTAAAAGTATATACTGTTATTTTTGGTAGCCTCATACACTAGTGTTTAATGGAAATTTAAGGAAACAATTATGATGTTATGAATGCAAATTCACAACCAAGTATTTATATATGAATAACCACATGCAAATTCGAATGATTTAACTTTAAAATAAAATGTAATATGATCGTTTAAAGATTTTTTCTAGTTGGTAATATTTTTAAAATAAGTAGAATTCTTTACTTGTAGCATACACCTTCTCTTCATGCAAAAAGTATAATAGATATATTGTTATTGAAGTATGTAACCCCTATAATACAAGTAGGAACTATGAATATGCGAAATTTAATGAATATCAATTAGTAAAGATTGATTATAAAATGATATGATACTTACACTCGCAGGTGGAGCAAAAGGGACCCTAAGTATGATACCTGCAATTGTAGGTGGGGGCAAAAGGGACCCCAGATATGATACTTGCATAGAAGGTGGGGCAAAAGGGACCCTCAAAGAGGCAAAATGGATTTCTATATAGTTCAATAACGATAATGTCAGATTTACCCGAGCTCCATTGAACATTCTTATAACAGTGTATTCAAATTTTTAGAAGACTAATATTGATATTCTATACAGACTTCAAAGGAATTAAAGGTTAATCCTAAAAAATGATTTTTCATTGTTTGCAAATAATGTTAAGTTTTATAATTTAAATATAGTTATTTATTATATATTTGCATTTAAATTTATTATTTAATTTGCATAACTACTTGAGCTTCTTAGCTCACCAGTTTTTATACAGGTTGTTGTTACAGGGAAAGGAAAGGAAAAAGTTTAAGCATAATAGGTTCAAGTTATTTAACTTTATGTTCGATTATTTAGCATTGTATGTGAGTCTACAGCTGAGATATGTAGACTGTTCAGTGTTGTACTACTTTGAATTTTATTAGTGGCTCTGTAAATATTATGTGATGAAGTTTGGATTAATTAGACGCTTCCGTTTATTATATAAATGTGGTTGTCAATGAATGTTTTATATAAGTATACAATTGATGAGAAATAATTAAAAGTAAAGAATAAATGTTATGTTATATGTGACACATTACGTTACTGGTAAGGGGTATCGTGGGGCGTTACATATATTTCATGTTCTATAAGCAGTGCTTATTATTTTGTTAAATTTTATATCATTCAAGCTCATTAAATGATTACATTATTTTAAAACATCTATGATTCTTATTTAGCTTATTATTCTTCAAATTATTGGAAACCTTATCCAAATTATTCCTTCGACCTTTTTTTATCCTTGTTACAATTCTTATGCTTCTCACTAATCACATCCTCAACCTTGCTTATGGAACCATTTACTTAATCTTTATTATGTTCCTCATGATTATTATCTTCATCCAAGCTTATGACACAATCCTCCAACAACTCCACCGTGTTCTTCTTATAGAACTTGCCTTGATGAAGTTCATCTACAACATATGTATAATCTTCTTGAGGTTATTCATTCTTGGATGTTGGATTTTCTTGTCTCACCGTCATCTTTGTTAGCATTTGACAAATATATTTCAAATTGCTCTGCATATTCTTATAACACATTATGTTAGTACCAAAAATAATACTTTGGTCTAAAATGATGATTTATATTGGAGATAATATGATCCCACACCTTCGAAATTCCATTGGGAATATTTCCTTCTAGAAATTTCTCCTTGATTATGTCTCTAAAGGAAACAATATGTTCTTTTGATCACTTTGACACCCATGGTAGTTCTTTTTTTAGAACTTTGCACATTCAATTGATTATCACTCTACCAGGCTGCATGGTAGAGAGTCCATTATGGATATATCAATTAGGTTCTTATCAATTGTTCTTGTCATCTCATCTCATGTTCTCTTAATTTGAATCACAAATATGTAATCTAACATGACAATTCCAATCATGTATGGGCAACATCTTGCATATTTTAAAATCATACTTCAAATATTCATGCATAAAAAGAAATATAATCATTAATCAATATTAATTTTGCATCATACAGTGTATTCATAGATTAGGAGGATCAGGTTTATCTCAATTAAACAATAAAAGCATTGAGATTTAAGCTCCTCCTTAAGTTGCACTGACAATTAGAGAGGAGGGTTAGCACAAAGAGATTAGGAAGAAGGGTTTTGTGAAGAGTTCTCACTACTTGTAGAATATCCTAGATATTTAGCTCCCATTGTAGTTTGACAAATCACAAATTTTGGCCAAATTTGATAACTTATGGGAAATCCCAAATTTTATAAATTTGGGAGATAATGAGATAGGCTTTTGGCAGGATTTACTCCAAAACGTGAATTTACCATGGACAAATAGGCATTCTGAACAGCCATTTGGTCTTCAGAATGGGATTCTTTAGTTATTTTTTTCTTAAAATGGTTCGAGTGTATTTAATATCACAAATATTGCTAAATATTTGATAATCTATAATTTTGTGGGCTTTTAGATTAGAATATGAAAGTTTTATCTGAGTAGCGTTGTAGCTAATTAAGGTGGATGTTATTAGGTTTACTGTGAATCCTCGGCGAAGAATTAAACAACATAATGGTGAGAAGAGTTGTGGTGCATGGAGGACAAAGCGTGGTCGGCCATGGGAGATGGTTCTATGCATTTATGGTTTTCCATCTAATGTTTCTGCTCTTCAGGTGAGTTTCTGTGCAGCCCTATTCTATTACATTGTGCAGCGACTCTAAAAGTTTTTTATAAAACATTAAAACCTATGAAAATATTTTTTTGCATTCATTATTGCATATATGAGTGCATGTATAAGCCTTCTATTTCAGGACAAAAATTGATAGTTTATATGAAATCATCTTTTATCTCCTTATTTAAGTCTACCCATCAATTTGTCAATTTTTGAAATGCTTCATAACTTTGATGATATGTGAAATTATATATTTATATGATCCCATTTCTCATTTCAAGTGCCTAGTCATCACGCCAAAAATTAGGCAGTTCACCACCAAGAAAGACAAAAAATATATTGAAGACTCTGCTGCTTTCTGGTTACTATTAAATTAGTTGAGAACATCAATGCATATAGATATTTATATGCCAGCATTATAGATGCTAACTTTGGGTTAAGTATTGAGACTACATAATGAAGTTCTTGCTTTAGGGCTGCAAATGAGCTTAGTGACGTTGAGCATGCCATGATCAACTTTGTTTATTTATTTTTCTATTTACTTCGAACAAAACCTGAACATAAGCTGAGTTCCCAAATTATGTTCAAGTTTATTTTTAAGCTTAGGATTGATTATACTCTTCTATAGATTGTCAATTTTACATGTACCTCACTTATATTTTCTAAAAGGCACTTGTCCCCTATTTTTGGTGCTCTTTGTTAACAAAGTGATGCTAACATGCAATTTAATATTCAATAATATGAGAGATAAGTTGAATTTTTGAAAACATCTTTTGTTTATTACATAATGTAATATATAACAATAGGAAGCAAGTGTAATTTTAGAAAACATAGGGGTGTTATGTATAACATTAACTATCCATAGGGATGGTAAGTCTGGCTAACCCTTTAGTTTATTTTTGTGTTCGAGCTATCATTGAGCTTTAATCAAGACTAACAAAATATATGTGAGTTATTAATATTTAAACTTCCAAACTACATTTAACACAAATGCAATTGTTTTTTTTTCAAGAGCTCCCAAATTATGTTCAAGTTTATTTTTAAGCTTAGGATTGATTATACTCTTCTATAGATTGTCAATTTTACATGTACCTCACTTATATTTTCTAAAATTGCACTTGTCCCCTATTTTTGGTGCTCTTTGTTAACAAAGTGATGCTAACATGCAATTTAATATTCGATAATATGAGAGATAAGTTGAATTTTTTAAAACATCTTTTGTTTATTACATAATGTAATATATAACAATAGCAAGCAAGTGTAATTTTAGAAAACATAGGGGTTTTATGTATAACATTAACTATCCATAGGGATGGTAAGTCTGGCTAACCCTTTAGTTTATTTTTGTGTTCGAGCTATCATTGAGCTTTAATCAAGAATAACAAAATATATGTGAGTTATTAATATTTAAACTTCCAAACTAAATTTAACACAAATGCAAATGTAATATTTCATTAGAAATTCACATAATTTAGTTAGCATGTTTTTTTTTTAATATTTTATAATCATATGTAAATAAATAATAAATTTAAATAAAATTATATGATGTTTTGACCATAATAAATGCCTGTAAAGTAGAATGTTTTGTCCCTAAAGATGGCCAACCATTTTACTATGCAAACAATGTCCTTAAATATCTCAGGAAATCAAACAAAAACTACAAGTAAAAGGCCAAAATACTCCCAATAAGTTCTAGCAATGGATCTGCAGATAATCTCATCAAGGGACTCAACAAACTCATGTTAAAAAATATTAGTATATTTAGAATGTTAGATTTATACCATTCAGTTTGAAGGGGATTGTTGAATGATCATGAGGCCCACATCACAACTGCTGGCCCCAATAGGAATTCAGTCCTTTTCCCACACACGGCTAGCCATTGGTTGGACCCACAAGTCTACCAATTTTGATAGGAATCCTTGAGCGCATAGATTAAGAGTTCTAATTGTTGGAACGATTCTCTTGTGGCTTGTAGATTCCAATCCATGTGCCTTATCTTCTACTTTTATTCGCCAATCTCTCTTAGTGATTTTTTCCTTTTTCTAATTAGCTTTGAATTTTTTTATTATAAGACTTTTGAAAAAGTCTATATATTTCCACCCTTTTTATTGAGTCATAAAATTTAAAGTGGCTTTTTTACTTTTCTACAAAATAAATAGTAAACACCTTAAATCACTCTGGGAGTTGCTCAACTCGACATATTCATTATGGAATAAAGTCACCATTTTATCGAAATGCTTCTTCAAGATTGTTTGTGATATGATTTAAATTTTCTTGTAAATGATTGAATAAATTAGTGAGGTCCGCTCTGAATTCAGGCCCGGCCCGCCCGTTTGCTGCTAGGTCCGGGAAGGGCGCCAGGCGATGCGTAGCAAAGAAATGCCCCGCAGCTCTGCTGCGGCCGGCCTCCGGACCGTACGTGCGGGTCTCCCCGCATGCGGCTCACGCCATTCGAGGTGGCCCAGCCCAGCATTCATTCGCAAATCCAAACTTGATCCAGCGAGTGTTCCGGGGTGTTGAAGAGTAGGGGACAGTGATCCGAAGCAATGCGAGGCAAGTGGCGAACAAGAAGAATGTTGGAATCAAAACACCTAACATTCACGATTCGCCTCGCTCAGTGGTTTGATCAAGGGCGGAAGTTTGTTGATCTCTCGAAAAGAGCGAACTTCTAATCCATTCCCCTATCTTTCCTCTTTTGAGACCAATCATTATGGATTAACCTAACCGGTCGAGGGAACATCGACATTCTATACAATGACTTTTGTGATCCGATACCGCTCTGAGGGATTCGCTTCGTTGGATGCTAGGAAAGAATAGGAGATCGGCATGATTCCTTGCCGGTGATCAGTCTGAAAAAATGAAAAGGCTGAACGCTCCGCGCCTTCTTATTTTATGTCCAATTTGGATTGGACACTGTACTGTCGGAAAAACCAACCGAGAGGTTGATGAATTGCAAAGAAGGCGCTAGGAAGAGGTTCATAGCTACCTCAACCGGCTATGGAACGTTACTCGAGGATCACTCATATGTCTTGGGAAAATGGGTACATTCGGAAGGCAAACAAATTCACTCCCTGTAGAAGAAAAAGGCAATAGTTGAACTTAAACAAGTTCAAGGCAATAGTTTTTTCTTTTTACAAAAGAAAAAGGAGTCTGGGGGCTATCGGTTCCCGGGCGATCAACAAGTAGAAATACGCCAACTTTAGGTGAGGACGGCCAATGAACTCACGGAGATAGACCTTCTTTAGTGTCAATAGTGCTCTAGCGCCTTCCTTTCAGCCAGCGGATGGACCACCAAAACTCAGCCTACTTATATCTCTATTATCCTGTTGCAAGTTATAGCTGATGCATTTGAAGACTCATGCAATTATCTTTTTGCATTTTATGATAGTTCAAGATCTTATCAATATTATTATTAGAATTGTTCTTTGACTGTGATTCATAAATGCTATAACTTTGTCATCTACCAACTGTCTCTCACCTGGAGTGAACTTTGTCATTAGAATTGTTTGATTTGACTGTGATTCTCTGATTCCTTGTTTCTGTTCTGAGTATGCATACTTCTAATTTTCAACTTGAAATTTTTAATTTTCAGTTTGAATGGGCATGGCAGCACCCCAGAGAATCTCTAGCTGTTAGAAAAGCTGCTTCAAGTTTTAAATCCCTCTCAGGCTTGGCTAATAAAATTAAGCTTGCCTATTCAATGCTCAACCTCCCATCCTGGGAGAAGTATGCTTCACAGCTCTTTCCCATCTTTCAATTAACATATAACTATAAAAAATTGAGCTCCATTTTTCTTTTTTAATCAGCTTAAACCTCACAGTGAACTTCTTTTCAACAAAATACACAAAACATATAGCTGGTTGTCCAAGGTTGCCAAATCAAATGAGGTTCAACATTTGTTCCATGGATGATCTCCCTTGCTATGCTAAAGGGCATGCTTTACATCGCAGCAGTGATGTCTTTGATGAAGCTGATGGAGAAGAAGATATCAATGAAGACATAAACATGCCTGCATCAGCAGATGTTACAATTGAAGGAATGAATAGAAATATCAATCAGATGGGAAATACTGTATCCTACAATTGTGAACAAACTTTGCAGTCTACTGAAGAATGCTATGGAAACTTATACTCTAATTCCAGAATACTACTGGAGTCGAGTGAGTTTACTGAACCTTCCCAGTCCCCTAGAAGAGTCATTGAATGCAGAAGAGGCGCTTCAACCAGCCTAAGTCCCAATTCTTGCAGTGAAGATAGTGGAATGGATCAGGCTAGACAGAAATCAACTCCAAGAAGTTCTGATAATGAAGCAATGACCAGTAGCTTGCTTCTCTCTCCCAAAGTCGACGTGATAAACCTATGCACACCATCCAGCGGCGTTATTCGATCGAAGACGAAGCGAGCTTTGTTTGACTCGATAATAATTGATCTAACCGATTCGCCGATGGTTATTCAGCTTTAAAGCTAGTAACTGGATATTTGCAGCACATTACAACTTGTATTGTGGTGCTGGATGTTCTTTGGTCTTGAATGTGATTGCTAAAGTCTTGCTTGATAAGGTCAAGAAGTTGGGTCATGGAACAGTTTTCTTATGTTATTGAGAGGTAGAGGCTTCATTAACTTCCTTCTGCAATAAAGGGATTGATTATTGGAATAGTTTGTTAAATATTTTGCCAATTTTTTAAATATGAGCTATTTGCAATGCTTTACTATGGATTGAGAGTTTCCTTGCTTTGATTTGTGCAACCTTGTCATTAGTGCAAGAAGCCCTTTAGATGTGATTACATAAGTAAAATAAGCTGAGTAGTGTCTCATAATTATACAAGTAAAATATATAAATTCATTGACTAGCCATACATTACATTGATATTAAAATTGTTTAAATATAGTGAGAAATACTAATGGATGTTAAAAAAATTCTCATTATATTTATTTGATGCATCATTACAACAACAACAACAACAACATCAAGCCTTTATCCCACTACGTGGGGTCGGCTACATGAATCCTTTTTCTCCATTGAGTCCTATTAAAAGCCAAATTCTCGTTTAAATCTAATAAAGAAAGGTCGTTCCTAATATTTTCTAACCAAGTCTTTTTAGGTCTACCCCTACATTAAGATTTGAAAAGTTTCTAAAAGATATTATATATTTTGTAAAAAATTTATCTATAATCAATTGATAATAAATTGAAACTATTATTTTTAAAATTGATGACTAATTATCTAATTACATATGTACAAATAATATATTTAGTAATATTGATAATTAAATTATTATGTAATAATTTTTAAATACAAAGCCTCGAGGAAAAAATATTGGTAATGAAACCTTGAAAACAAATTAATTTATTTTAAAATATCTTCAACTACCGTTATCTTTGACAGCTATCGTTGTCCTGCAGGTGACCGCAGCTACTATTGTATAAATCAACATATTTGATATTCAATAAAAATAAATTAATATATTTATAAGATATCAAATATATTTTATTATTATTTAAACATAAATCTAAATAAATAAATAAAAAAATAAAAGTGATACCAAACGTTCACTAAATTTAGCATATTATTAAAAGATATATATTTAGCAACTTGGGCATATACCTTTGCTCCTTGCCTTCAACCTTCAGCTTGCTATTGCAGTTCTGCAGGTTGCAAGTGGCGCACTGGAATGGTTCAGGGCCAGGCTTTTGGGAGCAGCCCATAACAGGGCCCATTCTACACAGAGAGGCTCCACGTTTTGTCTCCCGAAATTAATACCCGAGCTCAGGCCCATTACCCAACCCGCATAAGTCCTGGTCGCACCGTATAACCGGTGCCAGATTTGGAGGTCCCACCACCAACATTGACTGAAGCATTCTGCGAAAATATTTAAGCCACCCTTCAGCTCCCATCTGTCAGTAAAGAATAAATACTTCCCGGATTTTAACAGAGAGAGAGAGAGAGATTAGGGTTTCGTTTTGGGCAGCTTTTTTACTGATTCTTAAAGCAAATATTTAGCAGAAAAAATAACTAAAAAGATGCTTTAAGAAACTGTAAGAAAACTGTCCCAAACGAAATCTAGATCTTCAAAACTTCTAAATCATGACTTATGTTTTTTATTATTGAGATGTTACAAGAAATTAATTTGATCGGACACGAAACATGATGCACATTTGAATCATAATCATTTGAACATCCCGAGAAGGCAAATTCAATGGGCCCAAATCATCTCATTATGGTATCATTAAGATATTTAAATGTTAAAATAATGACATAAGATCGAGAGATTCAATACAGGTGGTCCAACAAATTAAGTGTTCAAAATTTTGGTTATATTTAAAGGACATGGTACTATCAAAATTTATAAATTGCCCCCACTCTCTCTATATTATGAGAGGCTTGGGCCTTAGCTTGAGACTCAAGAGAGCTAAAAAATTTGAAGAATCTCCGAGTTCCATCTGAGTACCACCGTTGATCCTTTACTGTTGGATTGCTTCAACTCCATCTCTGCCATCAAACTGCCACCACCCTACTATAGTTGTTGGTCCAACTTCTACCTTATTGTTTAGACCACAGCTTCATTATTGTTGTTAATTCACCGCCATCAGACCACTGTCATTAGACTACGATCTTTCAACTATAATCTCCTGACAATCAGTGACAAAGCCAGCATGGGGCTATGTGCCCCTTCTGGCCTATGATCCTTCATTATAATGATGATTGAAATAAGACATGGTGATGATGGAGTCGTTGCAACTATGTGCCTTAGAATTGTACCTAATATAACTATTTAAAGCATGGAGTCCACAAGGAATTTACTTCCTTTTTCATATTTTTATGGCCTCATATTTTTTATGCTAGCTCAAATATATGTGGATTGTGGCCAATGTACAAACACTTTTGGAAGCTTTACTAAAATATTTAAGAAACATATACTTAAAATTTCTTTTTAGATATAATTATCTCCAATGAGAGATAACTTGTTTGAATTTTTCATAAGTCATTCAAAACTTCAGTGCCCATTATTTTTCAATTACTCCTACAAAGTTAAATGAGAAATTTTAAAGTAAAATTTTCATATATGTAAAAAATTTACAAATAATAACTTCCATTCTTTAAAGTTTAAATATTATTTAATTATTAATTATTAAATAAAAAGATAAAATTGACATGAAAAAATTAATAATATATTAAAAATTATAAATTTATGTCCCCACTAATAAAATTTTTTTAACTCTGCCCTGCCAACCATTGTTGCTATGGGTGTCAAGTTTTAACATGACCCGAACCCAACCCGGAAAAATCTGGGTTAGGGTCAACCTGGACCCAAAACAGGTCGGGTTCAGGTTCAACAAATCTACCCGTTTTAAAAATCGGATCGGATTCGGATTGACTCAGCAACCCTAAAATGACTCGAAATTCACACGAAAATTTCTATTTGACTCGGAAACCCGATTTTGACATGAAAATCAAAGATTGACCCAATTTTGACCTTAAAACTAGCAATTTTAGGTCAACTTTTTGGTCATTCGTGTCAGGTCGGGTTGACCCGGACCCGAATCGGATCGGGTTCGGGTCCGGAAACCTTTTCCGTTTTTAAAAACGGATCGGGTTCGGGTTGACCCGAACATTACCGGGTCAGTTCCGGATTTGACCCGAACTCTACCCATTGACCCGAATTGACACCCCTAATTGTTGCTTCCAAACTTTTTGTTAATTCTATTAAGATATAAATTTATGTAGAGCGTAGATAAGAAACATACTTAAGCTTATATTGAATTATTTGTTCTTGAATTTGATAGTATAAAATGAAAATGCATAAGGTCTATTTATACTAATACTGAATAGTTCTAGATGCTTCTTTAATACAACTTCGGACTACAGTCTCCTACCATTCTCTAACTATCTCACTAGACTCAAAATTCCTCCCACCATTGGAAACTTCCAAAAATAACCTTCCACTACTTTCTATTATATTATTTATATAAGCTTCAGCAATAATCTTCATATAGAATTGTCTTCATGCTCTTTGTCTTTCCAGCGTAACGAAGGCAGCAGATCGATTTGGGCTGAGCCTTGAAGAAATTGAGAGAGAGAAAGACAAGAAATATCTCGAAATGTTATTAAATTTTTCATCTTGGCTCGTTCCAAAGCTCTTTCACAGAGATCTGGTGTTGGTTCAGTAGCTATAGAAAGAGAAGATACACTCTGAGATTTCTCCCCTGCTCCTAAATCCTTTTTCTTCACCTCCTGCTCCTCCTCTGTCTTTCATATCTTTTGTGGACAGGTTTAATAGGCGCAAATGCTGCAGAGAAGAGGAAGAGCAAGATGCGCAACCTTCTCCATGAACGCAGTTCTTTTCTGCGTATCTCTCTGTTTCTTCTCCGCCTCTCCTCTGTTTTCCATTAACTGCAATGAGGAAGCTTGCAAGGCTGGTTTTTTATTCAAAGGTGTCAGTTTTGAACCCAAACTTCTTACTTTTTTCTTAATGAAATGCATTGGTTTCATCTCATTTTCTTCACAGACAGAGAAAGCCTAAGCCTAAGAACCGTCTCCTTCAGCCAGGTAAATATTCAGAGAGAAGAGGCCGACGGGGTTGCAGAGGAGCTGCCGGGGTCGGATCCTCCGCGGTGCACGAATAAATGCGGTGAGTGTACTCCGTGCAGGCCGGTCCACGTGCCGGTGCCTCCCGGTACCACTGTGACCACCGAATACTACCCTGAGGCCTGGCTCTGCAAGTGTGGGGAAAAGTTCTTCATTCCCTAGCAGGCTAAACCCATCATCATCATCATCGCCATCGCCATCGATCAGCATCATCATCATCATAGTTATGTTCCATTGCCATGCGATGATGGTGGGCTACATGCATGCGCTTATGCATGGAGTGATGGAGAGGGCAGCAGAGGGAATGAATTCTATTATGTCGATTAGTTTGTTTGCTTGATTGATAATTGAATTGTTATGTTAGGCTTCGCTTGATGCAGTTTTTTTTATTGTTTTTTAAATTAAAATTTTTAAAGAGTGAGAAATTATTATTTTCAAAAGAATAATTTATTTATCAATTAAATTTTTTACTTTTTTGTAATTTTTTCATTAGTATATATAAATTCAATTATGTGAAGAAGTGAATTATGAAAATAGGAAAACTCATGGATAAGTTATCTTTATTTATTTTATATATTTGACTTATAATTGGTCATTTAATTTAAAGCTTCAAAAAAAGTTTATTAGATGCAGACAAAAGGTGAAAATAATTCTTAGACTATTTATATTAGATAATTTTAGTGTCAAATTATATATGTGTTGGTTTAATTCATTGATTACTCAAACATTGTTAAAAATAACATATATATGGAATTATTTTGGATTGGAATTGAAGAGTCCATGATCTATTTTGAATATGATTGAAAGAGTTTAAAGAGTAAATTTGACGCATTGGATAGTGGGCATGACACATCAGTTGAAAGCGGCTGACATGCAAAAATCGGCATTGTCGAACTAATAGGAGAGCTCAAGGCGGGCAATTATCCACTATAAAATCTTTTTTTTTTCTTAGAAGAATAAGCATTTTAATTATTTTGTCCACCTTCAATAAATGCAATTGCCTAAATTCTAATTTTTTTTTTCTATATCATACATAAAATTATGCATTTCATAATCCTATTTTGCTCACCCTTAAAAACGAGGTTAGTTCTGCCCTTACTTGGCATTTCCACAAAAAATAGGTTC